TGGCTTGCACCCATAGATGCTTCTCAAGCAAATCCCAGGACGTCATTCTCCCCTTGTACTCGGCCTCGGTGAGGCCGCAGCTGGAGTACTGTGTCCAGTTTTGGGCCCCACAATTCAAAAAGGATGTGGAGAAGCTTGAGAGAGTTCAGAGAAGAGCCACGTGCATGATCAGAGGTCAGGAAAACAGACCCTACGATGACAGGCTGAGAGCTATGGGGCTCTTTAGCCTGGAAAAGCGCAGTCTCAGGGGTGATCTGATGGCCACCTGTAAGTTTATCAGGGATGACCACCAGTATCTGGGGGAACTTTTGTTCACCAGAACGCCCCAAGGGATGACGAGTCTCGAACGGTTATAAACTACTGCAAGACGGTTTCAGGCTGGACCTAAGGAAGAATTTCTTTACTGTCCGAGTCCCCAAGGCCTGGAACAGCCTGCCATCAGGGGTGGTTCAAGCACCTACTTTGAACACCTTCAAGAGAATATTGGATGCTTATCTTGCTGGGATCCTGTGACCCCAGCTGACTTCCTGCCCCTTCAGGCAGGGTGGGGGCTGGACTCGATGATCTTCCGAGGTTCCTTCCAGCCCTAATTTCTATAAAATCTATGAAAAACCCAAAGTTTTAAGTTATATACCTAAAGTTTATGAATACGGTTTAACATGGTGCCACTTTTGTTTTACATTGTTAAGAGCCATCTGGGAAGTTGCTTACAAAAAAAAGTCTACATTAAATATTGCTGAGGTTGCGAATTCAAGCATTCAGAAGTCAGGAAGTATCTATGTTAAAAGTTACCTGCACTGTAAAATTAGCCAAAATACTTGAAGGGTCACAAAGCACTGGTATAAAATGGAAAAATTGACAAACCTGAAAGAATTAGTTTTTGTTATTGGGATTTGCCTCCTGAGACTGAGCACAAATGCAGAATGCATGGGAGCAATAATCGGTGCAAAGAAAATGCAAACAATAAGGATTAGCGTAGACCCACCAGAACCAATCATTTGTAAACAACACCCAATAAAATCTGTATACCTGGTGTATCCCAAAGCAGTACAATTGGAGAAGGCGATGCTGTTTAGAAATATTTACCAAAGGCAAGAGCAGTATTTATGAAACTGAAGACCATTGAGAGATCAAAGGAAACATTAGTCTTGGAATGAAAAATTACTTAACGGCAATGGAAAATCAGTTATATAGTCATGAAAGCTGGAGGATGAGTAAAAGTTGAAAAGAAGAAAGAACTTTTCTTGTATGGATGGGATAAAAGAAGCTTGCAGGTTTTCTGGCCAAAACTGGTATTACCAGGACAGCCAGGAGAGAAGACAAAACAAGCACACATCATCATGGAAATAAAAGAAAGAAGATGAAAGTGGATTGACCATATGCTAAGAATGGGCAATGAAAAACTACCTAAAACAAACAATATTGGGGACACCGACTAGAAGACAAACAGGCACAGAAGACAAAGGGAAGAGTGAAGGAATTTGAAACCAAGTGATCAATCCTAGAAAGAAGAGCAGCTGACCGTTGGGTAGAAATGCTTCCTTGCAGGGTCTATCTGCTATAGGCCCTGAAGAATGTGAAGCAAGCAAAATCATGGAATATTAATTCCCATCTCTTGTGCACATGTTTAAAATAATGTGCTATTTCCCACATTCAGTGCATGGAATGAATAAGACCTGTTGTCAAGGAAAAAGCTGTTGACTGAGACACCAAATTTTATTCCTCCTCTGCCTCAGACTTTGTGTTTTGTATTGTTTAACACTATCGTAATGGGCATGCAGAAAGGGCCAGATTAAAGTTTCATGGGTCATCTTAATTCTGGCATTTCTTAACTTTTCATTATTTGACTCTTCCCCTTATTTGACTTTGCCTCATAATGTTCTCTTAAGACAGTTTTTGAGGTTTCCATATGCAGTATGTTTAGTTAATGTTCAGGATTCTCAGTAAGACTCTTCCTGCTTCTCCCACACCCAGCAAAGAGGATCAAAGAAGTCTTTTTATCGCCACTGCCATCTCTAGATGAAGGAAAATGTAAAACCAGCAGAGCTCACTCTCCTGTTGATCCTGCCAGGGAGGAACTCAGACACCTGTAAGGATGTGAGTAATACTGGTTTAAATTTGTAATAGGAAGTCAGGATGGAGGGGGAAGAGAAATGGTGTAAGAGATTAATTGTTTACTAATGTAAACATAAGTTCTTCAGTGAAGGAGAGGCAGATGGACCAAGTAGCTTTAGGGCAAATACGAGTTCCTTGCTCAGTGTTGGAGGGAAGTGACCTGCCAATTAGTATCTACTGCACATTTACCTCTAGAAAAGGGCTGGGCAAAATAAGGCCTGCAGGTCAGGTCTGGCCTGCCAAGGGATCTCATCCGGCCTGTGGCAGGTCCCTTACCACTGCCCAGCCCAGGCGTGGGGGGCAGCTCCAGTCATGGTGTGTGGCCAGTCCCGCTGCCCCAGGGCGTGCAGCAGCACAGGGGTGGGACAGCATCTGGACTCCACTTCCCAGCAGTCCCTACAGCGGAGGCTCCCGTCTGCCCTGGGCCTCAGCCCTGTGCTGTCACCCCTCAGCCGTCCCGGCTCCCGACAGCCTGTCTCACTCCTGGAGGCCATTTCCTGCCCACCCACGGCCCCATCCGATCTGCCAGCCAAGTGTGCCCTGCCCGCACAGGTCCCAGCTGGTTTCCATGGAGACCCCACCTACCTGCTCCCTCTGGTGCTCCTGGTGATGGTTGTGCGGTGGATGGACAGGGCTGGAGCAGCACACCCCACTCCCCACCCTACCCTGCCATGCCAGGCCAGGTTAGCATTCTCCCCTCTTCTCCACCCCCCACCCCCCCACCTACCCACAACAGTTCACCCAAATTCCTAAAGTGCCCCTCCAGCTAAAATAATTGCCCACCCTTGATCTAGAGGCGCTGGCTATTAACACTGGTGATGCACGGGTGCTGTAGTGCTACGGCAGGGGCAGGCAAAATATGGCCCACAAGCCGGATCTGGCCCACCAGGCACTTTCATCCAGCCTGTAGCACCCACCAACTAATTGTACCCTGCCCAGCCCTTCTGCCTGTAAGGGTGGGAGTGAGGCACTCACGGACAAAAATGCCCCAGCATACTCTATTGTGCCTTGCTCCTACCCTTGTGGGCAAAAGGGCCCGGCCTGGCTAGTGCACAAGCTTCCAGGTGGGGCTGCTGCTGCAGCCAGTAAGGGACCTACCTACTCGGCTTCCCTGGTGTCCTGCTCACTCCAGCCAATGGGTAGGGAAGCACTGGGGTAGGGGCAGATCTGCAGCTGGGCAGGAGTGCAGAGCATGGGGCCAGGGCTGGTGGCAGCATGGAGCCCTTGCCCAGTGGGGCAGTGGTAGCGTGGAACTTGGGTGGGCCCACCTCACACTCCCCATCACTCCTCTTCCCATGGCACACAGTGCTGGCAAGCAGTAGCAGCAGCAGTAGGCGGGGCTACTTGGGATGCTTGTGCCCAGTGGCACACAGCTCTGGCTAGTGCTGCACATTGTGGTGAGGGGCGCAGCTCCCACCAGGTTATCTCTATCACCAGCACTCCCCACCGTGCATGCACAGCCTCTGCACTCATGTGGCATGGGAGAAAAGCCCCATACTGGAGCTGGCTAGCTTCCCTGTCCCTGGACCTGTGCAGCAGGGGGTGGAGAAGGCAGCCGGCTCCAGCATGCAGGGCTTCCCTCCTGTGCCACACAAGTGTAGGAGCTGTGTGTGCACAGCAGGGAGTGCTGGCAATAGCGATGACCCAGCAGGGGCTGCGCCCCTCACCACGATGGGCTGCGCTTGTTGAAGCCATGTGCCCCAAGGCACCAGTGCCTGGCATGAGCACCCTGAGCACCCCTGCCTGCTGCTGTGCCGTGTGTGTGGGGGGGGTGTCTCCGGGGGGGGGGGCCCCCACACCTCTCCCACCTTCCTTCACACCCCACCAATGCCAACGCACCCATACCCTACCCCCACAATGCACCACATATACACAACCCCCAATGTACCTTATGCCCTCCTACACCCTTACACCATACCCCCCCCCCCACCCCACACACACAGAGCCTACCATGTTTATCCCAATTCAAGGCAATTTTGGACCTAAGATGACCTCCCCCCTCAAATAATGAGATTGTATACAGAGAAAATTATAAAATGCTTATAACTTTCTCTATGTAGAAGCTAATTAATGGGGGGTCATCTTGAATTCCCTCCTCCACCACCACCATTGTGGTGTGGAAAGCAGTGGTGGAGCGATGAGGGTGAGCAGGCAGCCAGAACCCTTGCCTCCCTTTTCCTTGCCCCTCCCATGCCTGCTCCTGCTCTCCCTGCCGCTTGCCCCCCAGCCACTTGGCCCCCAGCCACTTGGCTTCTGTAGGGCAGTCAGTGGTAGCAGCAGCCCTGGCGTTGGTCCAGCTTGGCCAGGCAAAAGCAGTGGTGGCAGCTCTGAGTTGGGGTCAGAGTTAGAGCCAGAGCAGAACCAGAAGGTAAATGGTTGTAGGGCGGTGGCAGGGGGAGCAGCTGTGCGGTGTCCACCATCCTCCCCATGAGTCATGCACCACATAGTCTTCTTCATATACCCCCCTCCCCACTGCATGGTCTTCCTTGTGCTTCTGTAGTGCATCCTTTCCCCACAGCACAAGCCACCTTGGCCCAGGGCAGATGGCAGCTTGGCTTGGGGTTTGCCCTGGGCCTGGAGCCAGGCAGTTGCTGCCTGTCCCAGCTGGGCTTAAACCCTCATGTTGATTAGGAATGAAAGAACTTGTCTTGGATTCAAGTAGCTATGGTAGCTTCCATTGACACATCCAGAAAACCTGTGGAAGCATTAATAATAATTTTTTCTCACCAAGAAAGAGACTTCACACACAGTACCAAGAAGTCTTTGATCACCAGGGATCCTGGTTTCCCCTGATAAATTGCAAATTCTCTGGTTAAAAAAAAAAAAAAAAGGTAAATTCTCTGGTAAAAGCCACAGAATCCATGATTAAAATGAAACACCACTAATATATGTGTGTATGTATATGCGTGTATATATATGTATGTATCAATTGAACACAATGTTTTATTGATATATTTACAATTTTAAAGCAGTTTGGAAGCCTACCAGTGTCAATCACTATAGTAAAATAAATTCTAAGTACCTATAATTTTTTATATTTGATTTTGAGTTTTTTATCATGGAAAATCAGAGCTCCCCCTGCCCCCTTAGCTCAGCAGGAAGCAGGCCCAGGCCCCTGACTCCCCATCCACAGCCCCCTGCCTCCCCATAGCCCTGCCAGAAGGTGCCCCCAGGTGCCAGGGCTATAGGGCCAGGAACTCAGGTCTGCAGCCCCCTGCCATCTGCAGCAGTGCCCGAACCCCAGCTGCTGCATGTGAGAGGCTGCTGCGGCCCAAGCGGGGAGCCCAGCTCTCCTTCCCCAAAGAGGTTGCATGGCCAGAGTAGAGCCTGAAGCAGGATGGATGCAGGTTACCTGCTGCGGGCTAGAGGTGGGGTGCAGCTACCTGCTGCCCATGCACACTTCTGGGTGGGTGTGCAGGGGGAGCATGTACCTCCCAGATCTGTGCACAGGACAGGGGCAGGGGCAGGCTGCCTGGTGCAGGCTCAGGCTCCCCACCCTGCTGCCCTCTCCTGGGGCCTCTGTGGCCCAGTGGATGGGACCCAGCACAACAGGGCAGAGAGGGGTCAGACAGGGAAGATTGTTGCTGCCACTGCAAGCTCCATGCTGCCCTGGCGACGCCCCCTGCCCACCCCAAAGCAGCGAAGGGCACAACCTCACACTGCCACTCCCAGTGCTCTGGTGCGGGCAGGGGATGCGTCACCAGGGCACCGCGGGGCTCAGCAGCAGCAACAATCTTCCCCACCTGGCCCCAGCTTGCCCAGCTGCGTCGGGTCCTGCCCACCAGGCCACAGAGGCCCTGGGGGAGGTCAGGAGGACGGGGAGCCTGACCCTGCAGCGGGCAGCCCACCCTGCCCCTGCCCTGCACAGAGATCTGGAGGGCACAGGTCCCCCCTTCCCCACTGGGTGTGCACATGGCAGCAGGGAGCCAGCCCCACCTGGACGAGCATCTCGTTCCCTGCCAGTGCATAGTGGCCCTAAACCCCACGCCCCATGCACTGCCCAGCTGGGCAGCATCCCCAGCCCTGCCCTGCCCAACTCCCTCCTTCCCTATTTGGGGCCTCAATACCCACCCCCGCCACCAGACTTATCTGCGGGAGCTGCTCTCCGGGCTGCCTGACGGCCATGTGCATATCCATGCATATAGTGCCCCCCGCCCCGACTGCCCTCCTCCCTCTCCCCCCCTGCCGAGGGCTGGGCAATTAATTCGACTGAAGGACCACTTACCGAATTTTGGTGAGCTGCCAAGTGCCGCATGGGTAGCCCACCCCTTGGTAGTTGCCCCTCTCCCTGGTCGCTATATTGGGACCAGAAGTCCTGCCCTCTAACCCCTGTCCTTTGCCACTGGCCCACCTCTATCGCGAGGCTCTGTGCAGCTCACCTGCGGCTCCTGCACTTGCACGGCACCAGGGGAAGCCCTGCGCTGGAGCCAACTGCCCTCCCCACCCCTTGCTGCGCAGGTCTTGGGACTCCACGGGGAAGCAAGGGCTGGGGCTCCCCTCTATTTCTGATGGAGTCCCAGGACCTGTGTGGCAGGGGTGGGAAAGGCAACTGACTCTAGCACAGGACTGGATAGAGGCAGGCCAGGCAGGCTGCGCTCCTTGCCCCCATGCAGAGCCTACCTGGCCTGCTTCTGTGTGGGAGAGTGTGGGGGGAGGTCCTCACACCCATGCCCTGCCTAGCTGAGCTCCACACTCCTGCTGCCCCCTTTGGGTGTGGCCTCCATGCCACTGCCAGCCCCACACTCCCTGCCCCACCCAGCTGCAGCTCCCCCCCCACCCCCACTGCTTCCCTACCTGCTGCCCAGATGCCAGGAAGCTAAGCCAGTCAATAGGGTGTGTTATGGTGGGGGGGAGGGGGCTGGCTGGCAGGTCAGATCTGGCCTGCAGGCCGTACTTTGCCCACCCCTGCCGCAGCCCCTTTAAGGCTGGAACTCTGTCAACCTGCAGAGAGCTCTTTGCAAAAGAGCAAAATCCACGTGTTT